ACCGAACGACTGGGTAACCTGTTGTAAATACTGATATTCACCCCCCAAAATACCCCGTACATCAGTATATCTAATATATAGACACCGAAGGATAACTGCACAACTAAAAACAAACTGAACAAACAGTATAATTAAACATCTCAACAAAGACATATCTTTAGATAAACACAAAGAGAAATGAAATGAAATGAGGTTTAACGTCCTACTGTTTTGCATGGACTGGGCTAATGGGAGACGGACGTACGCCAGACAGTATGCTATGGGGGACATTGTGTCCGGGCAGCAGCACTACAACCTACTCTTATATAAGGAACAAGAGAAAAAAAACAAAGAATTTGTGATTGTGCTGCAGGACTTACCTAGAGCCTCAAGATCTTGGGGGCCTCGACCGACCACGATATAAAATAGATTTTACACCGGCTTAAGCCTTTCTTACACGCACGGTAGCCGCAGTGAATCGGTGTGTAAGACGCGGGCTAGCTAGCTTGGAGGTCCCGAGATTTGATCTTCGTGATTTTCCTGGTCAGTGATGCAGGGGCGGGGAGCTGGAAAGAAACCACGTTTATTCGTTCGAATGTCTACGTTGGTGTGAACGTTAAAGAAGCCTTGACATTTGGAGTTTAAAATAAGAGTAGGCCGTGGCACCGCTGTCCCTCAGATCACCAAACTGCATGGCGTTTGCCCGTCTTTATGTTCTCCGTCGGAGCAGAACAGTAGGATATTAAACCTATTCTTCCCAGTTCTTACGCGTTCTGTGGTCTTAAACACCTATCTAGTCGTTCGGATGGGACGAAAAACCGAGGTCCCGTGTACACATTGGCGTGTCCGTACAAGATCCCTTGACAGCTGGAATTCGATATAAGAGTAGGCAAATTTCCCTCATAGCACAATGTATGACGTATGCCCGTCTTCATTAGCCCAGTTCGGAGCAGAACAGTAGGATGTTAAACCTCATTTCATTTCCGTCGCTATTATCCTCGATCGGCTTTGCTCAATTGCGTTTGAAACACGTATTCATCGTCCTCTAATCGTGATGGGATTGTGTGTGTGTATGTGGGGGGGGGGGGGGGGTTAGGGCTATAGGGCCTCTCATCGTCGTAATCCGTAGGACATTAAACCCCATTTTATGTTCTTCTCCGAAGATTAAGAATAGTGCAGTGTCCCTTTAAGTATATAATATGTCAGTAGTGCCCAGTTATGTCACGCCTCACGCGGGCTCACGTGACCTGCATTTTAACATACGACACATCTGGGTATTCTAAGCCAAGGTTTACATAGACATGTTCTGGTATTTCACCGAACAACAAGAACAAAACAAAGACAAAATTTCCCTTCACTTGACATTAAACTTCACATTTAAAAGAGAATCTGAATTTACCGAGAAAATATAATATTCGCAGTAAACTGTCATTTTTCTTTTATCTTAAGGTTTGGTTTTATGATGTTTTCACGTTGCTATGACAACTCGTTTCACAATTTTGCATTTTAAATTCGGCACAACCAAGTACATGCATTTTGTATTTAAAGGGACATAATGCTAAAAAAATAAAAAAAATAGCAGGAATCAGACGGATAATTCTCTTCCCTATTGCTTATCAATATTAAACCATGACCGTTAAAATGTTTATAAACATTCCGACGATCTTAATGTGTATAACTACAAAGGGCCCAACATATTACAATCATCTGATAAAAATATTAAAGGGTGTCGACCATCTCGATGTTTTGCTATTCCCGATCAAGGAAATGTATAGGGTATGGAGTCAATTTTTAAAGGTATTTTCTCTTGTGCATGCCTATTTAACTTCCGATTATTCCGCCCCACAATCTACTGTGTTTGGAAAGTGTGGATATCTAGAAACTAAGAAAAACGAAATTTAGAGTTGTTGCTTCCGGACTGATCCTACTGCTTGCCTAGAAAGTTACCACGGATGTTCCACCCTGGCCAAAACCCGAGAACCCACGCACGCATTGACGTGCACGTAAAATAACCCTCAACCCTACTGCTTAGCCATATGCCTATCTCCAATATTCCAGTTGGTGCAGAACAGTGGGGTGGGTGTTGTTCAACCCTATTTCATTACCTTGACCTCTGGTTTGAATCGTCAGTAAACCAGTATAACCTAGTGCCCTACGATATGTTTATAATATAAACAAAGATTTTAATATAAATATAATACTGGTGATAATATGATACCACGTGGCTTTATATCATCATGTTTATATTAAAACACGTGTCAATATTTTTATAGACAGGTTTTCAAATATATTTATATAGTTTAACAGGTTATGAAGGTGTAAATTACAACCACGCCATGTACGTAATTGCTATACCTGCAAATTACAACCGCGTCATACTCAGGGCCGGTTTATGACACATTGGGGGGTTGGATGGCTGAATGGTTAGCGTGCGCGCGCTGTATCATAAAGTCTGTCATTGAGTCGACTGGCGTGGTTTCGAATCCCCGGTTGTACGTGACAAGGAGTAGGGTCGCCTGTCCAACCTCGTGGGTTTTCTCCGGGTCCTCCGGTTTCCTCCCACTGTTAAAGACCCCTATGCGCAAGCGAATTATTGAAATAAAATTAAACCACATGTTTGTCCCGAAATGACTTAGTTTGTGTCGAGTGGACGTTAAACCCCATCTCTCTCTCTCTCTCTCTCTCTCTCTCTCTCTCTCTTGGCACATTAATTGACCAACTGCCCTAAATTGGGCACTGCTCTAGAAACGGGCCCCGCAGCTCACCAATTTAAATTTTCCAGGCAATGTGACAGAATGCTGCCAGGTGTGGCTATTTTTTCATATCCTGTTGCTGCAGTGTATTCATATCCTGTAACAACCGGGGAATCGCGGTGGCTAAGTGGGTAAGACGCTGGCTCGCTAGCCTGGAGGTCGGGTATTCGATCTCTGCATATGGGTCGACAAAGTCATCCAGATTTTCCGGCGTGGTTCCCCCTTGTCAGTGATGCAGGACGGAGGGCCTGACAAGTACAACTGTAAAGTCGTTCGGATAGGACGAAAAACCGAGGCCCCGTGTACACATTGACGTGCACGTAAAAAATCCCTTGGCAGCCGGAATTCGATATAAGAGTAGGCCGTAGTGCCGCTGTCCGGGCACAGATTTCCTCAGAGCACACTGTATGGTGTATGCCCGTCTTCATTAGCCCAGTTCGGAGCAGAATAGTAGGACGTTAAACGCCATTTCATTTCATTTCTGTAACAGCCGATCATACAGTTACTATAACTGGTAGCTGGAATTCGATGTAAGAGTAGGCCGTAGCGCCGCAGTCTGGCCAAAAAAAACAAAAAAAAACCATCCCTCATAGCACACTGTATGGCGTATGTCCGTCTTCATTAGCCCAGTCGGGCCAGAACAGTAGAACGTTAAACCCCATTTCATTTCCAAAAGTCTGTCGTATTTTAAAGAGTTGTATAAAGTTGTACTTATTAGTGGGGGATAACTCGCTTACTAGCCTGGGATATAAAGACCATTAAACATACATTATGCTAAAGCTAAATCTGCCTATTAATTAGACATTAATTAAACATGCATTATGCAAGAGCAAAATCTGCTTATTACAAGTCTTTCTTTAGGCCTGAAATGTTATCTAAATTATCAATTAGACATTAATTAACTTATCCAGACTATAATAAACTCTCGATGTCAAGGCTAGCCTTCGATGTTGGCTGGATTAGATTCCTATATGCCGCTAACGGCCATTGATAATTAAATCAAAAAAAGTGGATAATCGAGACTATGCTGTTTATATTAATGATTTTAGTAATGATGACCGAGACTATGCAAAAATTTCACCCGCTTCTTTCTCGGCTCATAGTGGATCAATTTGACTGAAATTTTCAGCAAATTACCTTTAAACTATCTAGTTTTTAACTATTATAGCGAGAACTGCCATCTCTTTATCTTATCTCCCATAATGTATCTTTAACTTATCCAGACCATTACCAACTCTCGATGCCAACGCTAGCCTGTGATATTTATTGGCATATGATCCGATTTGCTGCTAAAGTTTCATTCGTGATTTAATCATGGAATGGATAATCGAGACTATGCTTCTTATCGTACCGACTTTAGTAATGATGATCAAGGCTAGGCCGAAATTTCAATCGCTTAATTCTCGGTTCATAATGGATCAATTTGACTCAAATTTTCAGCAAATTGCCTTTACATTATCTAATTTTTAACTATTATATTGAGAACTGCCAGCTCTTTATCTAATCTCCCATAATGTATCTTTAAATAAATTGTTTATAAACTGTCATTATCTTATAAGTCAGTAACTAAACTTTACATCAAGTTAATATTCATCAGATACAATTATGGCAGTTTGTTTTTGGGCAGAATTAGTGGCGAGTGTGAGACATGGTTTAGTGTAGCGAAGAATTAATAGTTCGCAAGATACGAATGTGGAAATCATAAAACATGATTTTCAAACCTTTATTTTCATAATATTGATTAGTACCATATCATATCCCTCATATAATATCATGGCTTCACCCTCACATAGTACCATAGCCTAAAACTTACATGACACCAAACCTTAACTCGCACATAATACAGTCTAAATCTCACATCATACCATAGGCTACCTACTATATAATACCATAGTCTTAGTGTCACATAATAACATACCCTAACGCTCGCATAATACCAGGGGGGTGGATGGCCGAATGGTTAGCACGTGCGCGCTGTATCATAAGGCCTGTCATTTGAGTCAACTGGCGTGGTTTCGAATCCCCGGTTGTACATGACAAGGAGTAGGGTCGCCTGACCAACCTCGTGGGTTTTCTCCGGGTTCTCCGGTTTCCTCCCACTGTTAAAGACCCCTACGCGCATGCGAATTATTGAAATAAAATTAAACCATGTTAGTCCCGAAATGACTTAGTTTGTGTCGAGTGGACGTTAAACCCCATTTCTCTCTCTCTCTCTCTCGCTCGCTCTCTCTCTCGCATAAAACCACGAGGCCAGAACTGACCAGAGTTCTAATATAAACCTATCCAATGAGGCGGATAATAATCATCCAGATGGAATTTATACATTTTTTCAGGTCCAGGATAACCACGGAAATAGATAGTTGTACCTTTGGTCAGGTATCCGGTCCACCATCCAAACGATCCGGATGACACAATACTGTGATCACAACTCATCAAAACTCCAAAATCTATAAAAACACTCTCGTGAACAATAAGTACATCACGAGCTAGAAGATTCCTCTCCACCCATTGAATGTCATCGGAACAGACTATAAATACCGGATTGTCCAGCATTTTCTTAAATATTTCCATTGCTTTGTCGAAATATGTCTTCGGAGCAACCGTTAACCCTAAAAACTTAAAAAAATCGCCTCGTCGCGCATGGATTCCAACTTTAATTCGAGACGTGGCGTTTAACCCTTTAAATATCGCCTCCACTCGATCGGCTTTGTCTTTTTGCAGCGTGAATTCTTTGCGAATTTCGTCTGCAATTTTATGAAAATATTTCCAGGATTGTACATAGCCATATATGGAGATATTTGTTGAACTGTTGTTTACATCTACGACGCTTTCTGTATAAATGCCCTGGTTGGTGGTATTTCTGAAGACGCGGTTATCCAGACGAAACGGAGAAACCGACTTAGTGCTGTTGATTTCAAATAATTGGAAGATGGGATCTGCTCTTGTCCAGAGCGGTGTGTGTTTTAGTGATGAGCCAATCCCGCGCAATGACGCGTAATTAAACATATGATTTCCCAATCGACCATGATCCATAAAATAAAATTCGAGATAAAGTTTATCACGTGACTGATGATCGTCACATGGTAAATATCGCGGACTCTTTGACAAAATGTTGTCATCATATTGTATATTTCGAATCCGCGGTTGAACGTTAAGTATCGTTGAGTTGTTTAGTGGTCTTATGAGAATTTTATACATGCACATCATAAACATAGAACATAGTAAAAGTACTCTAATTTGGCAACTTCTTGTAGTAAACTTCATCATAACCTGTCTCCAATCTTGTTACTTCACAAGTCTGTTGCTTTTGTTACTTCACAAGTCTGTTGCTTTTGTTACTTCACAAGTCTGTTGCTTTTGTTACTTCACAAGACTGTTGCTTTTGTTCACAAATCTGTTGCTTTTGTTATTTCACAAGTCTTTTGCTTTTGTAGCTTCACAAGTCTGTTGCTTTTCTGTTGCTTCACAAGTCTGTTGCTTTTGTCACAAATCTGTTGCTTTTGTTACTTCACAAGATTGTTGCTTTTGTCACAAATCTGTTGCTTTTGTGGCTCCACAAGTATGTTGCTTTTGCTGCTGAACACGTCTGTTGCTTTTGCTGCTGAACACGTCTGTTGCTTTTGCTTCTTCACAAGTCCAATATACCACCAATCTGAAAATGCTGACGTGGTTGTTCTATTTAGTGGTGATTTTTACTCTCTTATCGCAGTTCTTTATCCAGAGACCGCAATAATTTGGTGCCGTTAAAAAAATCAGTCGAACGTAATAGGCTTCCTTTGAATCCTATTTAAGTCACCCATGCCTCCGCGCAAAATAACTTTTTGAAATATTGCAGGTTGCAGAATCCAAAAAAAAAACCAGATACAGTGTCTTCAATTGCATGCAAAATTAACAACACGCATTTGTTGACTACTTGACCAGCCCAAATGAGGTGTGTTTCTTAAGTGTCTTTTTAGATATTTTATAAATAATTATGTGAGTTTTTTGAGGGCCTTTAAAGGTAAAGTCCACAGCTGTCGATAAGTAAACGTCATAATATTATACTTCATTGCAATTGGTTTAGGTGTACCATCGTTGTAAGCCTAATATAATATACAACCAGCTGTTATGCTTGGTGTAAGCTAATGGTTTAGTCAATATATCACTTCCGGTAAATGTCACGGAATATAATTTACGTTTCTGAAAAGGTAAATGAAACTTCTTTTCAGTGATATTCTGTGTGATATCCGGAATATCGTAGTATGAGCCGTATTTTGACATTTAAAACCCCACCTACCCCCCTCCCAATCAATTAAACATACATTGTGCAAGAGCTAAATCTGCCTATTGCAGGTCTTTCTTTAGGCCTGAAATGTTTTCTAAAGTATTAATTAGACATTAATTAACTGATCCAGGCCTTAATCAACTCTCGATGGCATCAGATTTCTTCGATATTAAATAGATTAGAATGGTTCAGCGATACTTTGATTTAATCAAATATGGAGGACCGAGACTTAGCTTCGATCAACCAGTACGGTGGTTGAAATTATTGCACACGTCTGTCAAACCTTCAAAGGCTAATATCTTCGCTTACAATAGAGTAATTTGAATGAAATTTTCAAATTATTCATTTTACATCATCTACTTTCGAACTATTATAGCAAGAATGACTAGTTCTTTATATAAATCTTACATAATGTATCTTTAATAGAGTTTAATAGCGTACACCTTTTCAAGCTATTTTCTGGCACATTTATATTTACATACCTTGAAAAAAGATCAAAGTCCCCACAGTACTAAAATTTATTAAATGTATTAAGTGAGAGGAGGGATATTTAAAGTAAAAAAAAACGATCTTACTAAGAAATTCTCGATATCTGTTCATATAATGTAAATTATGTTCTTGCACATTTGTGTTACATACCTTGAAAAAAGAACAAATTAGAGATGACACTAACATGTATTAAATGAGGGGTGGGGGGGGTATTTAACGTCCAAATACGAGCCATAACACAAAATACAAGATATCGGAATGCATGCCATTAGAAAGGTCCGAATACATTTTTAGAATTGTAAAATATTGTAAAAAATGGTTAAAGCAGATATGATTTGGATCGTCCGAAATCTGTTTAGTGAGGGGTGGGGGTATTTAAAAGTCAAAATACGCGTCTTAATACGAAATTCCGGTATACTTCACCGGAAAGTATTTGTCTATCGCCCTTTGAACATACGAGTATTAGATACTTTACTGGGACATTCATGATTACATGATTTAGAAGAGATAAAGCCCTCTTTCGTTTGCTCAAAGAAATATGTCGCTATCAGACAAAACCTAATTTCTGAAAATAGACTACTTTCAATTTATTTTATTTAATGCTAGATCAGACTAACCAATATATATGTATATATATACATTACAGGGGCGGGGGGGGGGGGGGGTCAGCACCATAATCACTAGATTGTCGTCCTACCCTATTTATCAGTACTTTTCTTTTAAGGTTTTTTTGTTGTGTTCTTTCAGTTATGGCGAAGAAAGCACAAGTGAAAAGTATGGCCGCAAATGTGTACATCTTCCTCATTGTCGCCTTCGTGTTTCGAAAATGGTTGCGCCAGTTTACCATAGATATAATATACGTCATCTGTTTATCATCTCTGTATTGTTTTGTTATCAACGAGTTTAAAGGAGCCAACTCACTAATATTCTGGACCTAGAAATTGACACAAATGGGTCACAACGCATTTAATAATGTAATAATATATAAACTGATTTACATTTAATTGTTTCTGTTTTTACTGTAATTTCTAATCAGTTATGTTCAGCGAAATACGCCAGAAGTCTCAGTCGAATGGCAATCTATAGCATCTGGTTATTCCAGTCTACACCGATAGTATTTATTGCGCATACTCTCCAGATAAGAATATGGCGTCATCGTTTGACATAACTTGTGGAATATGTCTAGCCTCGTTGTTCGTGTCACTTGTTACAAACGGTGGCGAAACGCATTATGGTACACGATTCGTGTACCAATGGTAAATTGTTTATTTTGTCTTAAATATTGGATATCAGAGGCCCATCTTTTCCCGGTAAAATCACAACATCGATGTTGATTTAAATTGACGAATAATTTGTGTTTTCAATGTCGAAGACTTTGGATGATAGCACGTTAGAGACTAAGCTCCTTTAAATATGCAAAAATGCAATTTCCTAAACCAACTCTGGTGATAACGACATATACAATGCCGGAACTGTCTTGTTGGTGAGTAAACGTCTTACCCACTGATTCACCGTGGCTCCAATGACATAAGGTTTAGGGTCTTACTTTTCTTTGCCGACCGGGATAATGAAGACGGACATACGGCATGCATTGTGTTATGAGGGACATTTTGCTACGGTTATTTTACGTGTACACGATACCTGTTTTGTTTTTTTTCGTCCAATCCGGTAGACAAGACTCTGACCCTTACCAGGCCCTACGTCCTGCACCCATCGCGCCGGAACCATTTGTTTAGCGAGCCATTGCCTTATTCACTGAGACACCGCAACTCTCCGCCGTGGTTCAAAATGCAGTTTCGGATACCGATCTTTCAAACAGGCCTTAAATACGAGCACTCCACGTGTGTTTACAAACTTTGGAAGAAGAATTGAATAAAATTGACTAATATTTTATATAGTCATTTATCTTCGTAATAGTTGGTATATAAGCTGCATGTTGGCACTCGCAATTTTTTCAAGTTACTGAACACAATAGAATTTATTATAATGTTCCTGCAGATTAATTTGTTCAACCTTTTAGTTACAGAATTTCTCCGAAAAGATTTGATAATAAAACTAGTTTAATCTTGCCCAATAAAAGCAAATTATAGGGGTGGAGTGCCAAGGAAGAGCTGATGCATCGGAAATAACACTCACTACAAGCTGATTGTCAGATAATTTCTTAACTGTGGGTGCATTCCTATATTTTTCTTATGGAGTAACTTCCCTTTATATATCACGTGAGCAAACCAAGATGTCTGCGCCCATTCGAAATGAATTTCGTAAACAAATTGACTAAATAGTCATAAATTACCGACTTTTTGTAGTATATTATTGGCCTGGAACTAACATTTACTGTCTGTTATAACATTAGACTATATCATACAAAATACAAATTTATCGAAACAGTCTCTCTCGGGTAAACGTCATACTTACAGGTATTTTCTACTTCAGTACTTGACCTAATAATAATCTTCTGAATCTGAATCTGAAGGGTTACGTTGAAGCGACCAATTCTGGCTTTCATTCATTCATTCATTAAATCGAATGTCTTACTCTTTTAGTCTTTACTGTAACATTATCATGATATAATCTCGGGAGGGGTTGTCGAATGGTTAGCGCATGTACGTTGCATCATGACATAAGGTCAGTCATTGAGTCAACTGTTGTGGTTTTTCGATTCCCCGTATGTACTATGTGAAAAGGAGTAGGGTTGCATGTCCAACCTCGTGGGTTTTTTCCGGGGCCTCCGGTTTCCTCCCACTGCTAAAGACCTCTAGTGCTAAAGACCCCTACACGCAAGTCAATTATTGAAAGAAAATTGAACCAAATGTTAGTCCCAAAAAGACCTATTTAGTGTTCAGCCGATGTTAAACCCCATTTCTCTCTCTATATATAATCTCCCCTACAATCGATGCATTGCATGGCTTGCTAAACACTTTCTATACATACTAAACATTAGTTTAGAATAATGATCACTTGTATGATTTAATGACAAAAATTGTCATTGCTAAAAGACCAAGGTTCAATGGTTCATGTTATTGGTATCAGCTTACCGGTCACGTTGTTGCCTGAAATCTGGATTATTTTTATTAAATTTTTCGACATTTTTTGCAGAATAATGGAGTCTGGAACTAATGAAGGCTTGCAAGACGCTGTGCAAAACATTTCACAAAATACTAACAATAATGACATAATTTCACAAAATACATCTTGTGATGAGGTTATGGTAATGCCAATGGACTTGAATTTACAGTCGTGCGATGAAATCAATGAACGTGCAATGGAAGAGTCGTGTGTCCAATTATCCAATATCAGTGTTTCAAAAGACAGGGAATTAGGCTCTGATTTTGATGGCATGGTAGCATCTAATGAGGCCTCAGCCAATGTTACGGATACAGAATCTCTTCAAATCAGTCAAATGTTGACAAACTTGTCACAGACAGACGCACATTTTAAAAGTCAGCAACGTGGCGATCCAGACTTAACTTTAGTAGAAAAATACAAAATAGCGCATGAAATATTGTCGAAAAATCCGTCAAAATTCCTAGAACGATTTCATGACTATTTGAATTTAGAAGATTTAAATTATTTTGAAAAATTCTGTGGGAATTATGAAATTGACTTTTATGTTACACACATTAAGCAGAATCTTAATAAAATTACCAGTGCTAAAATTGTTAAAAATCGTCGATATTCGGCGATGCAGAAACTGGTTAGTGAAGGTGATTATTTTAGTGAAGATGAAATGAAATATCGTGATCCATTATTATATGAAGAGATGGTGGGTCAATATTTGACCAGTGATGAAATACAGAGCCGCGTCGATAAAACAGATTTAAAATTCTCCACCATTTTACTTAAACATATTGATCAACTGGAAGAAAATAAACTTTATCATCAGCAGAAAGAATCACAGGTTAGACTACTTTATAATTATTTGTAATGAATTCTTTTACTGATGCAAGCACAGCTGTCTAGTCATTCGGATGAAACAAAAAAAAACCGAGGACCTGTGTATACATTGGTGTGCACATAAAAGATCCCTTGGCAGTCCAGGCAAAATTTCCCTCATACATGTAGCACACTCTATGGTGTATGTCCATCTTCATTAGCCCTGTCAGAGCAGAACAGTAGGATGTTAAACCCCATTTCATTTCATTCACAATTCGAAAATTGAATCAACTGGCATAGTTTTGATTCCCCAGTCGTACGTGACAAGGAGTAAGGTCGCCTGTCCAGCCTCGTGGGTTTTCTCCAGTTCCTCCGGTTTCCTCCCACTGCTAAAGACCCCTTTGTTCAAACGAATTATTGAAATAAAATTGAACCATATGTTAGTCCTGAAATGACCTAGTGTTATGCACGGTACCATATAGTGAGCTCACATATTAATGTTTGGTGGGTGAGATATAGTTTTGATATTGTTTGGTGGGTGAGAGATAATTTTGATAATGTTGGGGTAATCTAGATATGTTTAATCATGTTGGGGGTTGCATGTCAGAGAATGATGGGAGTCTAACAATGGATATAATATACCCGATATTGTTTAATTTCTTTGTGTGTATTTTAGGAAATTGATCAAGAAGAATATGATGACAAGATAGATGAAGGTCAGTATAAAAAAAAAGAACTGGACTGATGAAGACGGTCATATGCCATAAAGTGTGTGTGAAGGAAATTGTGCCCGGACAGCAGCACTACGTCTACAGCCTACTCTTATATCGAATTCCAACTGCCAAAGTATCTTTAATGTGCACAGCCCATGTGTACACAAGACTTCACTTTTTTGTCCCATTTGAACAACTATATGTTGTCCCTGGCACGCCCCTCGGTCCTGCACCATTGACAAGGAGGAACCACGCTGGAAAATCCTGATGAACTTTCCCAACCAATGCAGGGATCGAATACAGGACCTCCAGGTTAGCGATCCAACATCCTACCCACTGAGCCACCATGACTAAATTGAAGGATATTTTTAAAATTTGGTTTGAGAGGGGCAGGGGTGGGTCAATGAGTGGTCCATTGCATGTGCTTTAGATCATAAGGTATGTCACTGAGTCGTCAAGTTGTGTGATTTCAATCCCCAGCTTATGCGTAACAAATGGTAGAGTCGCCTGTCCAACCTTTGTAGGTCTTCTGCGAGACCTCCCGTGTCCTCTCATTGCTAAAGACCAGGGCCCTGTTTCAAGAAATTTTAACTAAAGATAGAATCAAAATTTTAGTAGATACATGTACTTTAATTTTAATTGGCTAAGCACTAAAATCAATCTAATATTATCCAATCAAATTACTAAAATTTAGATTTTTATATTAGTTAAAATTTCGTGAAACAGCTGGGAGCAGTTAACTTATTAACTGGTTAACGCACAAATGAGATTAACGCGTTAATTCATTTCTATTAATGCATTAATCTCATTTGTGATGTCATTATATGCATATTTGGACAGAAAATCGTTATACAGACCCATGAAGCGACCTAATTCATACAAAAAATCTCGGTCGCTCTAGTTACCTGTGCCGGATCATGTGTCTCCGGTTGAAATAACTTTGTCTCCAATCTCCGACTCCGGCCTTGCTCTCAGGCCTGCTATTGACCCTATGCGTAAGTGATTTATTGAAATAAAATTGTACATATGTTAGCCAAAATGACTAGTTGGTTTCGATTTCCCTCCCCCCTCCTCCAAAAATCTGTAGACCTCATTTTATGTAAAATGCATAAACCATCATCAGAAATTGAACAACGCACTTCAGTTGATTAGTCTGGACATTGTGAGCCGGTATTATAATTCAGTCGATAAGTCTCTTCATTATGAAATCTTACTCTCAACTACCATAAAGGGGCATTATGGGAGATTAGATGAAGAGTTGACAGTTCTCGCTATAATAGTTTAAAAAATACATAACATAAATAGAATACGCTGGAAATTTATGTCAAATTGACCCATTCTGAGATATTAGCGATTGAATTTTAGGCCTAGCCTCGATCATCATTACTAAAGTCATTACGATAAAAAACAATGTCTCGATTATCCATTTTTACGTTTATTTTTTTTTCAAACAATGTATTCCAATCCGCAAAATATCGCAGACTAGTGATGACATCAAGAGTTGATTATAATCTGGATAAGTTAATTTATGTCTAATTAATAATTTAGATAACATTTCAGGTCTAAAGAAAGACCTGCAATAGGCAGATTTAGCTCTTGCATAATGTATGTTTAAAGATGAAATCATTTCCTTGGCTTAGTAATAGAATCGTAAAACATGTTATAGAGAGAGCGAGAGAGATGGGTTTAATGAGACAAACCCGGTCTTTTCTGGACTTACATATGATTCAATCTTATTTCAATAATTCGCTTTCGCGTAGGAGTCTTTAGCAGTGGGAGGAAACCGGAGGACCCAGAGAAAACCCACAAAGTTGGAGAGATGACCCTACTCTTTGTCACGTACAAGTGGAGAATCGAAACCATCTTGACTCAATGACAGTCCTGATAATCCAACGTGCACATGCTAACCATTCGGTCAACACCCATCCCCCCCCCCTTCCTCCATTGAAAAGACTGCAGTCTTAACATATTTTGGTGAATGAGGCGTTAACTGCCAATTTGCAACCAAAGCAACCATTACTTACCATTGCTGTAATAAATCTTCTCCCCCCCCCCTCATATATTCTAATAATCTTACCCCACCCCTGACCCGGCTATCACCCCTCAGTGCACCAAATGACAACACCACTGCAAAGGTGACCAGACATGGGACAACAGCCTCTAGACTTGTTTCTAATGATTTTATTTAATAATTCTAGATAAACCTGATGAAGATGATGATGAATCAGAACTAGAGAGTGATGAGGATGAAAAGCCTAAAATACCTGAACAAGAAAAACAACAACTGAAAACAGAATTTCTTGAAATCATGCAAGAAAAATTCCTGTCTGGTGAAGATACAAATTTTTTTGATTACAGGTAAAAAATAATTTATTCAATTCGTACATGTGTTATTGATGAGTAGACTATATCTAGACGTGTTAATTGCTAAAGACACAAAATAAAATAAGGTTAACATCCTTCTTTTCTGCACCAACCCGGGTGATTAAGAAGGGCATATGTTGAGCAGTGTGGGGACGAAAAACTGAGGTCCCGTGCACACATTGGCGTGCACGTAAAAGATCCCTTGATAGTTGGAATTCGATATAAGAGTAGGCCGTAGCTCCGCTCTCCATGCAAAATTTCCCTCACACCACACTGCATGGCGTATGCCCATCTTCATTAGCCCAGTTCGGAACAGAACAGTGTGCTATGACGTAAATCTTGAACGTACACTGGAACTGCAGCCAAGCGATACTCTTATTTCATAATCCAACTGTCAAGGCTTTTTTTTTTTTTTTGCGTATACAGTGGAGGTCGGGGGTTCGATCCCTGCATTGGCCGAGAAAGTTCATTCAGATTTTCCGGCGTGGTTTCCCCTTGTCAGTGATGCAGGATGGAGGGCCTGACAAGGACAGCTGTCTAGGCGTTCGGATGGGACGTAAAACCGGGGTCCTGTGTACACATTGGCATGCACGTAAAAGATCCCTTGGCAGTTGGAATTCGATATAAGAGTAGGCAGTAGCGCCGCTGCCCGGGCAAAATTTCCCTCATAGCACACTGTATGGCGTATGCCCGTCTTCAATAGCCCAGGTTAGGAGCAGAACAGTAGAACGTTAAACCCCATTTCATTTCATTGCGTGTACAGGGGACCTTGGTTTTTCATACCATCCTAGCTACTAGACACTGACAAGGGGCAATCAAACTGGTACTTTCTCCATCAACACCAGGTTCAAACCCCAGATTTCCTATTATTTGTCCAGGGCATCAAAAGATGACAATGTGAAATCAATAGAATTCAATGCAAACTTTAAATGGCAATAATAGATTGAACTAGAAATTGTTTTTGATAAAAGTCACTTTTTAGCCATGTGGTTTACGTATGTGAGTTACTTCCCTTGTTATGTTTTGACTTTTTTTTTCCCGCCGTCGTTCCCTTTCAGACTGTAACATAGCATTCTATTATTACCAGGCGTGTGTCCAGGGGGAGGAGGGTGTCAGGACCTACATTCATCGAAATAAACGTTTGAAGCATGGCTGCCGATTTGAACTCATTCCACCCAAAGTATCCACTGAAGTCGATGTTTATGTTTTATTTATTTTTTCATTTTCAGTGAAGTTGATAAAAACAACGAGTATGATTCCCTTGCAACCATTGAACAAGATGAACAGGAAAAATATTTTGATGAAGATTAAAATTTTATTAAAAATTGCCTACACATTAACATAAACAGTTCATATGGGCGGTTTATCTGACGACCCCATTTCACTACAAAGAGATACACTGTCAAAAGTGAAAATGGACGTTTTTGATTTTTGTCTTAATAATGAGTAATTTCTCCACCAATCCTCAGACATTCAGCAATTCGTTGTGGCATGCCCCTAATCAACCGTCCGATCACGATTTGGGGCAATCTGACCCACACCTCTTGCAGTGCCGCGGTCAATTCTTGCAGTGTTGTCGGTTGATGTTGACGAACACGTCTCCCGATCAAATTAAACGTAACACACTAAAGCAAAGATATGCTGAACAGTAAATCTTATGCAAGAACCGATAGGAAAGCCAACATGGATAGGATAAACCAGCAAGCGGCAGTTTTCATCAACCCTTCCTTGAAGTGTCAAATTTGACAATGACCCCCCCCCCCCCTACCACCCGCCCACGTGAATGGCGCTATTGCATGTCGCACATGACGCGCAGTGGTTCTGTTGGGGCGATAAGTTCTTAATCTGTGAACATACTCTCAAAGCATGTCAAGTGTCCGTGACTATTTATCATATCGCAACCTGCATAGGTATTTGCATTTCAATATCCCCTACTTTTTTTGAAGAGTATATATACATTGTATATATATAGGGAGAGTGTGGGAGAGAGAGATATGGCAGGGGAGGGGGGAGGAGGCGATCAATTCTTTCAACTATATACTGTTCCTGCATCACTAACAAGTGGAAGCACCCTGAAAATATCCGGGGAACTTTCAGTTGTGTAGGTCGGAAAGTCTAACAAGAAACCCCATCTAGCCGTTCATATGGGACAAACAACCGAGACCCCCTTGTATACCGTGGCATGTACAGAAAGGAATCCAGTTGGAATTTTGAATATGAATATGAATTAGCAGGTCGGTGAGTCTAAGAACTATACCGGTTGGCATGTTCGTTAATGATACATTTGTTAAGTTTTTAATAAAGAGTTGGCCATTATTGCTATAATAATTCAAAAACAGATGATAAAAAGAAAATAGTGAAAATTTTAGTCAAATTACTTTATTCTGCACGGAGTTGTCACTGTTGGATGTTTGGACTAGAGCATAAACTGTCTCCGTCTCCTAGAATTGCCGATCGTTTGATTGACAACGATAACTCCACCCACATATTCTCGATTATCAAGTAACATTCTCAATGGTTACAGTACCCTCGATTGGCAGTCCTTTCATCGGTGGTGACGTCATTGAATAACTGTAAACGTTTGCTTGGTCAGCCATTTATTGATTTAATATGGACGACTGTTTAAATCTAAGCTGTATCCAAGCCACCATCCGAAGCTCTAGAGAGTTGATTTTGAGCTTGTCATGTAAATAAAGGTCTAATAATAATTTCTATAACATCTGAAACCTAAAGAAAAACTTGCAATAGGCAGATTTAGTTCTTAACTACTGTGTGAACCATCGTAAATTTTAAACGGATTTCTTCGATTATGAACAAACTACTTAACTTTGGTTATTATAAACTTACCTGTGTGTTTGTAATGAACTCCCGTTCGATAAAATCCATTGTACAACTAATTATCACAACGATGAGAACAAGTTCTCTCTTGAAAAATTTGAAAATTTACTTGTAATTTCGACAGAGTCGATGTCAACAATGTCTTCGTGACGTATTGGTCGAATCCAATATACCTGTTGCGGGGGTTGGTTAACATTGAAAGATAGTTTGACAGCGCGATCATTTTGATCGTATATGGGTTTGGGCGACGAAAAATATCAATTGAAGGCAATTACATAGGAGATTTATATGGAAACCATTGATCGCCAGTCTATCAAATTTTCTTCACAATTAAAATATCACTGATTGCACGGATACTCGTAAAAATAAAGTCATGTATAAACTATAAATATCCTATCTTCTTTATGTTATAAATAATTTAACAAGGATCGTGAAGCTTACCTCCGAATTCTCAGAGTGTATTTTGAATTTTATACGCATTCTTTCGATCGAATAATAACCGCTTCAGTAACATCTTTAAGCATGTTGCGGCAGCCCTCAGCGTGCCTATTGGGTGCCTGGGTGGGTATATAATGCTACTAAGCCCGTATGACCCCGTAAGAAGCGGAACATTAATTCTCGATTCGACAGTTTTGACCGAAGTGTGATAAAACGAATGTATAGTTGTGTTTGTGCGGCATGCGTGTTCAAAAGTAAATTATCCCATCCGAGTCGCTAATCAAATAATTAGAACAAAATATTTCAAAAAGTAAAGCTATAAAATTTGCAGAGATTTTACTAGAATGTAAAAGACGGTAACTAAATACAGGAATGCGGGTAGTTATGTGTGCGAACGCTCAAACTCAATGCCAATTGTCGTAGGTATCTAGACCACTCGGACCAAAGACTACTCGGACCAAAACAAGACCAGTCGGACCAATTAAATTATATTATAAGGCTAGACAATATGCTATTTATTTATTATTAAATCACAATACAAAGAAGCAAATAATTCTTATACGGAATTCTTATATTTAGAGTTGTTTAGTTCAATTTTGTGTACGGAAAATAAATCAACGATTAGTTTTAAAATTAATTAATAATGGTGCCAAAAAAAAATATCAATCTAATTTTTCTTATTTACCCTTGCAATGAGACTCGGTATGTCCAGACTTTTGACGGTCCGAGTCGTCTTTCTGTTGGGTCCGAATAGTCTTTTTGTATGGTCCGAGTGGTCTATTTGTTTGGGCTGAGTGGTCTATCAGTTGGTCCGACTGGTCTTGAACCGAGTGGTCTTTGGTCCGAGTGGTCATGGATTCTTGTCGTAATTGTACTTGAATTTCCTATGCTGTGACCCCTAATACGAAATGATATCTTCCGCAGAGCGACGTAACCATCTTCCATATTGGTATTTTTCTTTGGGAAAAGTTTGTGATATTTCAATTTTTCAAGAGAGAACTTGTTTTCATCGTTGTGATAATTAGTTGTGCAATGGATTTTATCGAACGGGAGTTGATTACAAACACACAGGTAAGTTTATAATAACCAACGTTAAGTAGTTTGTTCATAATCGAAGAAATCCGTTTAAAATTTACCAAGACTCAGACAGTAATTATCTTTAAAGAGAATCCAGATGGAATTTAAAAATATCAACATTCTGTAGTCCGAACAAGATTTCGCTCATAGCAGACTGTATGGCGTATGTCCGTCTTCATTAGCTTGGGGGGGGGGGGGTCACGTGGCTAAGTGGGTAAGGCGCTGGCTCGCTAGCTTGGAGGTCGGGTGTTCGATCCCTGCATTGGCCGAGAAAGTTCATCTCGATTTTCCGGCGTGGTTTTCCCTTGTCAGTGATGCAGAACGGAGGGCCTGACAAGGACAGTTGCCTAGTCGTTCGGATGGGACGAAAAACCGAGGTCCCGTGTACACATTGGCGTGCACGTAAAAGATCCCTTGGCAGTTGGAATTCGATATAAGAGTAGGCCGTAGCGCCGCTGCCCGGGCAAAACATCCCTCATAGCACACTGTATGGCGTATGCCCGTCTTCAATTAGCCCAGGTTAGGTGCAGAAGAGTAGGACGTTAAACCCCATTTCATTTCATTTGATTTCTTGATTAGCCGGGAATGGCGTATGTCCGTCTTGATTAGCCGGGCTAGTGCAGAACAGCAGGACGTTAAACCGCATTTCATTTTGTTATAAATATTAATTAAATACGGAGTAGGACGTATTTGAGAGCCAATAAATTCTATAAAGAGGAGTGTCCATGTCAGATTCAAATTTAAAAAAAAAGAAAAAACATCTTAGTCCAATAATTATTCAAACTCTAGTTATGGCTATTTCGGGACTTAGTGTATATCGACTATCCGTCGAAATATACCAAAGAATGCTACTTTACTATGAACCACCGGCCCTTTAACTTCTGCTAACCATTTTTTAATTGTACATGCAGATTTAAAGGAGGTAAATCGCTAATATTTGGGACATAGAAAGTGACACAAATGGGTCGCAACGCATATAATAATGTAACGTGAATGTATATAAACTGATTTACATTCAATCGTTTCCGTTTTTACTGTAATTTCAAATCAGTTATGTTCGGCGAAATACGCCAGAAGTCTCAATCGAGTGACAATCTCTAGCGTCTGGTTATTTCAGTCTACATAGTATTTATTGAGCATGCTCTATGCCGCCACCGTTTGACATGACTTGTGGAATATGTCTAGCCTCGTTCTTCGAGTCCCTTGTTACAAATGGACCTGAAACACATTATGATACACAATTCGTGTACCAATGGTAAAATGTTTATTTTGTCTTAAATATTGGATATAAGAAGCCCATCTTTTCCTGGTAAGATCACAACAACAATGTTGATTTAAATTGAAAATAATTCGTGTTTTCAATGTCAAAGACTTTGGATGATATTGAGTTAGAGACCTAGCTACTTTAAAACTAGATAGTACCGATCCTTTTAGGTTGAGAGAGAGAGAGAGAGAGAGCGAGGGAGAGAGTGTGTGTGTGTCCACTCAACATAGTCATTTCAGGAATAACATTACAGTGGTGTATAAACGTGGGGCCGAACCCACACCTTGTATAGGTGTCAGACCTTATGACTTGCAGCGCATGCGTTAGATCACCATGCAACTACGTGGAACCTCATATCATTTCTATAATTTATTTCATAACACAATTTATATGGAATACAATCACTGGTTTATACACATATAGCACGACGTTTCAACAAGTATTCTCTTATCGTTATCAAGTACAAACAATGTATATGTGTATAAACCAGTGATTGTATTCCATATAAATTGTGTTGTATTTTTCAATGTGCTCAATCACTAAATGCCATTCAAGGATTAAATTTATTCCATATATTTATAACCATGATTAATACAAGATTACGTTATTCATATTAGTCACTGTATATAATTTATATTATCAAGGTTATTATTTAATCACCATGCTAAAACGACCTTTATATATATATATATATATATATCATATACCCACTATGTCCTGACCCCAATATAATTACACTCTAACCCCTGATATTTCTAAATGACATATAATATTCCAAATACCAGATACATAATTGAATAATTTCTAGTTTTATTGTGGAAGCTGTCAAGATGAAGTCTGTGTTAATTCTCTTTCTTGCAGGTTAGTTTTAAATTTTTGATGTAAGAAATATTTTTCGTGTCTTGTTTCTCTCATGTCGGTTAGCGCGTGCGGGCTATATTATAAGGTCTGTCAACTCTCGTGGTTTCGATTCCGCGGTTGTACGTGACAAGGAGTAGGGTCGCCTGTCCAACCTTGTAGGTTTTCTCCGGGTCCTCCAGTTTCCTAACAGTTAAACAAATAGATAATGAAATAAGAGCATGCTAAAAACAAATCCGTCATTTTGCTTCACTTTAAACGTAGATATTAGAGATTCAATTTTAGGCTAGAATCGATCGTAACTACTACCGTTGGTACGATAATAAACAAAGTCTCGATTATTCCTATTTACGTTAAATCATCCATTGCAAAATGTATTCAAATCCACTAAATATCGCAAGCTAACGATGGCATCGAGAGTTGATTATAGTCTTTGTAAGTTAATTAATGTCTAATTAAATCACATAACATTTCAGTCCTAAAGAAAGACCTGCAATATGCAAATTTAGCTCTTGCATAATGCATGTTTTAGAAATACTTTTATATGTTTTTTTCAAAAAAGAAACTCGAATTATATTATGTATGTATTAGAAGTATATAATGAAAATGGGGTGAAGTCCTACTTTTTCTTACACCGACCGGGATAATGACGGTGGGATAGGAGGCCACCCGACTCATGGTCAAGGGGGGAGGGCCTGACAATGACATGTGTCTAGTCGTTCGGATGGGACGAAAAACCGAGGCCCCATGTACACATTGGCGTGCACGTTAAAGGTCCCTTGACAGTTGGAATTCGATATAAGAGTAGGCCATTATAGTGCCGCTGTCCGGGCAAAATTCCCCTCATAGCACATTTTATGGTATATGCCCGACTTCATTAGCCCAGTTCGGAGGTGAACAGTAGGAGGTTAAACTCCATTTCATTTCATCTCTCCATAATCCTACTGCTCAACCAATGTTAATCCAAATCATTACACGGTCGCCCAGATATACTACACAGCTCCAAACGTCTCAGTGCCTTCGGGAGATAACCCCTCTCCCAAAACACGATAAATACTGGAGTCAGCTCGCCCGCTCCCGATATTTCTCAAACTGTTAATAAAATAGTAAACAAAATTACAGAGTATGTTAATAACTGTTGTCATCAGACTTATTCTGACTCACCCAGACTTATTCTGACTCATTCAGAATTATTCTGACTCATTCAGAATTATTCTGACTTATTCTGACGTCTAGTCTGACTCATTCAGACTTATTCTGACTCATTCAGGTGAGTTTAACATTTGTTGTTTCTTTTTATTACAGTACTTTATTTATATCTGACGCTAGGGTCGGATGCTGACGTCACAAAAACAGAAAAGAAAGCTGTAAAGACTGAAAATGAAGGTCAGTATACTCTACACGTGCATTCTCGTATTATGGAGGTGGGTGGGGGGCATGGTGGTTATAGGGTACCATGGAGGTCGAGTCAGTATGGCGCTGGCTTACTAGTATAACTCCCGCCTTCGACCCAGTGCGGAATCGTGCAGGGCAGAGAGCCTGGCAAGGAACGACGTCTAGACGTCCGGATGGAACGACAAACTGAGGTCCCATGTACACATTGGTGTGCACGTAAAACAATAAATTGGCATCGGAATCGCTGCTGTCCAGACAAGATTTCCCGTCGAAGCACACTGCATGACGTAATATGCTCGTCTGTATTAAAGCCCGGCTAATTCTATTTGGGAGGTTGGATGGCCGAATGGTTAGCACGTGCGTGTTGTATCATACGGCCTGTCATTGAGTCAACTGGCGTGGTTTCGAATCCCCGGTTGTACGTGACAAGGAATAGGTTTTCTCCGGGTCCTCCGGTTTCCTCCCACTACTAAAGAACCCTACGCGCAAGCGAATTATTGAAATAAAATTAAACCATATGTTAGTCCCGAAATGACCTAGTTTGTGTCGAGTGGACGTTAAACCCCATTTCTCTATCTCTCTCTATTTTAGTCAAGGTGGCTGAGATGTAGGTCCAGGGTTAAGGATGGAATTAACGCTATAGCCCTGTTTACATCTCGTGACCTATGACGTTTTCTAGCCGGGGTGGGGGGAGTGAACGGTTAGCCCGTGTGCACTGTATCATAAGGTCTGTCATTGAGTCAACTGGCGAGGTTTAGATTCCCCGCTTGTACGTGACAAGTAGTAGGGTCGCTTGTGCAACCTCGTGGGTTTTCTCAGGGCCCTTTGGTTTTTCCCACTGCTAAAGACCCCTACGCGCATGCAAATTATTGAAATAAAAAATTAAACCATATGTCAGTCCCGAAATGACCTAATTTGTGTCGAGTGGATGTTAAACCCCATTTCTCTCTCTCTCTCTCCTCTGATGAATAGGTAACTAGTCTGCTACATACATTTTATATATCTTGCTTTTTTCAGTGAATGACGTATTTAGAAGTGAGAACTTAGCCAAAGGTTTCATCAAAGATAAACGGGCACCTGCTCCTGGCGGCTTCTTGTTCAGACCTAGATATCATCGTACCCATCGTTACCATCATGGCTACCATAGGAACCGTTACTTCAAACATAAATCACGGGAAGAGTATGAAGAGATGGAGGAGGGCAGGTTTTTCGGAAAATAAAATGGAGATAAACATTGTTTAACATTTATTGTATTTGGGGAAATATCAGAAAATAAAAGTACCCAACCACTCTGGTTTTATTAGTGTTATTACGTATCAGCACATGGTAGGTGGTAGTGGGGATTGTGGAAGGTGGTAACGGGGATGATGGTAGTGGTAGATGGTGGTGGTGGTAGCGAGGTTAATGGAAGGGGCTATAGTGGGGATGATGGAAGGTGGTATCGTGGGTAATGGAAGGTGGTAGCGAAGATGATGTGAGGTCGGTAGAGGAGATGACGGAAGGCGGTATCGGAGATGGTGGTGGTAGCGGGGTTAATGGAAGGGTGTATATTGGGGATGGTGGAAGGTGGTAGCAGGGGTAATGGAAGGTGATGTGAGATCGGTAGAGTAGATAACGGAAGGCGGTAAAGTAGATGCTGATGGTAGCAGGGGTAATGTAAGGGGGTATAGTGGGGATGATGGAAGGTGGTAGCGTGGGTAATGGAAGGTGGTAGTGAGGATGATGTGAGGTCGGTAGAGGAGATGGTGGAAGGCGGTAGCGTAGATGGTGATGGGTGCGGGGGTAATGAAAGGTGGAAGTTGGGATGATGGAAGGTGGTAGCGAGGACAATGGAGAGTGATAGTGGCGATGGTGGGAGGTGGTAGCGAGGATAATAGAAGATGGTAGTGGGGATGATGGGAGGTGGTAGCGAGGACAATGGAGGTTGGTAGTGGGGATGATGGGAGGTGGTAGCGAGGATAATGGAAGGTGGTAGCGGGCGTAATGTAAGATGGTAGCGAGGACAATGGAATATAGTAAGTGCAGGGGGGACTGCATCACACATAATTTACACAAAAACAAATATACGGACAAGACTCAACACGCAGAAATCACAAACAAACGAACAATTCAAATTAAGTGAATGGATCCGGGGGCTAGCCGTAAGCGTGGTAGCGAGGACAATGGAAGATGGTAGCGAGGACAATGGAAGATGGTAGTGGGGATGATGGAAGATGGTAGTGGGGATGATAAAAGATGGTAGTCGGAATGATGGAAGATGGTAGTGAGGATGAAGGAAGGTGGTAGCGAGGATGATGGAAGATGGTAGTGGGGGGATGGAAGGTGGTAGCGAGGATGATAGAAGATGGTAGTGGGGGGATGGAAGGTGGTAGCGAGGATGATAGAAGATGGTAGTGGGGGTGATAGAAGGTGGTAGTGGGGATGGTGGAAGACGGCATGCAGGGATAAATGAAAGCGGAAGCGGTGGTGATGGCATTGGATAGCGGTAGTGGGGATGGTGAAATGGGATAGCGGTAGCGGATAGGAAAGCCGTGGAGGGGGGGGGGGAAGCGGTAGCGGAGAAGATTGAATGGGGTAGCGGTAACGGAGAAGATTGGATGGGATAGCGGGGATGATATCTGAATAAATAATAAAATAGTAACTTATTCATAAATGTTCCAGTGGTATAAAAACGTGATATTTTGGTTTCTGGATGTAGCACATATTTCTAACTCGCAAAGGTTCTATACCAAGAATGAATTTAATTAATGTTTTTCTTCTTCAAATCTCAATTAGCAGTTATAAAGCGTGTTTTTCTAAAGAACATAATACGTCTGAAAAACTCTACATAACATTTCTTCATGTTGTTTACCTAATAAAGCTAATAATGTCACTCATTAATCAGGAATATCCAACAAATGTTTATAAAGAAATCTGTTCTATTGTAAGTTTATGTAAAACGTCCGAGCTTTAGTCATTAAATGATGGCAATGCTAATACTGGTTTTGTATAGAACAACGTATTTTAAGAGTTTATTGTTCCAAGGGATTTGTTTCAACAAACTTACAGATAGTTTATTTCATGCATTGGTTCACGTATTGGCTTTTAACACAAGCGCAATCTTTTTGCACGTATCGGCCATGATGGGAGGTGATAACGGGGATCATGGAAGGTGGTAGCGTCGACAATGGGAGGCGGTAGCGCCGGTGATGGAAGGTGGTGGCAACGGGAACAAATGGAAGGATTAATGGGGATCAAAACTAAGCGATGGCTCTCGCAAAATAAAGTCTGAAAGCTGTTTTCTTATGTTTTACGCAGAAGGGTCCTCCGTTTACCAACTCAGTTGTCCATTGACTCGGAGTTGGTAAACGGAGGAACTTTCTGGTCTCAATTTTAGTTATCCTGGCTTGGTGTCGCTTGAATGTCGAAGCTCTTTAAATCACAAACAACAAACTTGCAATTTGTTTCGCCGTTCTTTATGTACAAATAATAACTTGATGGTTGCTTTACTATAATCATTCTTATTGTTTCTTAACTCTCAATTAGCAGATACAAAGTGTGTTTTTCCAAAGAAGATAATGCATCGAAGAAACTTTACTGTACGTTAATAAGAAAAATTCAACCAAGTTGGCTTATTAAGATGTTTATGAAGAAATCTTTTGTATGGTAAGCTCTGTAAAGCATCTGAAATAATGAGTTTTCGTTATTAAATAATGTCAATACAAATATTGCGTTTGTATACAACGTGTCTAAGAGGTTATTACAAGGAAACATTTGTAAACTATATTTGTTCCAATTAACACAGATAGAATTTTATTGGGTCCTTTACCGCTGTGTCGGGTTAGAATTAAGGACTAGTTATAATTTACCGCTGCAAGCAGCAGGTTGAATCTTGTGGTTGCGTGTGATTTGAATTAAGCAGCAGTTAGAATTTTCCCCGTTCTGCCAGATTAGAATTAAGCACCAGTCAAAACTCTACCTCTGTGCTGGATTAGAATTAAGTATTATTTACCGCCATGCTGTAAGCACCAGTTCGAATCTTGAGGTTGTGTGTGATTTGAATTAAGCACCAATTAGAATTTTCACCGCTCTGCCAGATAAGTACCAGTTAAAATCTTACCTCTGTGCTAGATTAGAATTAAGCACCAGTTGTAATTGTACCACAGTTTAAATCTTACCTCTGTACTAGATAAGAATAAATCACCAGTTAGAATTCTACCACTGTACTGGTTAAGAGTTAGAATTTTACCGCTATGCTGGATGAGAACTAAGTAGCAGTTAGAATCGCGAGACTGTATGTGTGATTATAATTAAGCACCAATTAGAATTTTACCGCTGTGCTGGAATAGAATTAAGCACCGTCCTAAGATATCGAATATGATGGCTTTTCTGTGGCTCCAGTTTTTAATCTTGGTTTGTTGTGTTATCGTGTCAAATAGTGAAATTATCCACATCGAAGCTGATTCTCAATATAGGGAATTTATAAATATCGAGGGGAAGACATCGGAATTAATATGGATTAAAGGGCGTCAGGATGCTGCAGTTGGACTGTTTGAGTTTTCAAAACAAATCCAGTTTGGCTTATGAATTTGTGATAGGCAGATGGGGCAACACTAAAACAGTATTAAGGATACACCAGCCTAATTATTTGTATCTTAGGACAAATGATACGGACCTTTTATTAAATCCTCACCAATTTACGCCATTTTGGATTAAATGGACAAGTAATAATGTGTGTATTAGACCAGGAACAGTGGGCAGCAATGGAAAACGGCTGGAAATCACGCACTCTGATACTATACCAATCAGATATATTTCATTCGATACTGCAACGCAATACGCGCTTAAGTTTGCATACGATTTATCATGCAAAAAAACCAATATTTCATTCTAATCAACATGCTGTAAACTAATATTTCATTCTAATCAACATTTTGTAAACTGATATTTCATTCTAATCAACATATTGTAAACTGATATTTCACTGTAATCAACATGTTGTAAACTGATATTTCAATATAATCAACATATTGTAAACTGATATTTCACTGTGATCAACATGTTGTAAACTGATATTTCATTCTAATCAACATGTTGTAAACTGATACTTCACTGTAATCAACATGTTGTAAACTGATATTTCATTCTAATCAACATATTGTAAACTGATATTTCATTCTAATCAACATGTTGTAAACTGATATTTCACTGTAATCAACATGTTGTAAACTGATATTTCCCTGTAATCAACGCGTTGTAAACTGATATTTCATTATAATCAACATGGTGTCAACTAAAATTTCATAATAATCAACATCTGATCTTTCGTTTTTGGATGTTGAAAATTGGACAGGAATTTCTCTTGAATTATTTCGAAAAATATATTTCTGGTTGTTTTATAGTTTTGTTTTTTGGGTTTTTTTATTTTTTTATTTTTTTTTTTGCTTTTAATATATGAATATGATATTAAATAGAGCACTGCACATTTAGTAACTTTAAAACTGATTAAAGATACATTACGGGAGATTCGATAACGAGTTGACAGTTCTCACTATAATAGTTAAAAACTAGATAATGTAAAGGCAATTTGCTGAAATTTTCATTCAAATTGATCCACTATGAACCGAGAACTAAGCGTTTGAAATTTCCGCCTATCATCATTACTAAAGTCAGTACGATAAACAGCATAGTCTCGATTATCCATTTAATCGTTAAATCGTGAAGGAAAGTTATGCAGTAAATCGGCTCATAATCCACTTAAGATCGCAGGCTAGCGATGTCATCTAGAGTTGATTATGGTCTGGATAGGTTAATTAATGTCTAATTAATAATTTAGATAACATTTCAGAACTAAAGAAAGACCTGCAATAGGCATATTTAGCTCTTGCACATAGTGTCTGTTTAAAAGTCAATATCTTAGTATTTTTTTTTTAAATTTTAAACAAAACCCTCAATTAGAGTGGGATGTAGACAATTAGGTATAGAACAGAGTTGACAACATAGGTTTTAAATTACAACTGATCAGGGGCGTGCTGGCAGGGAGTTTAGAAGGACGGTGTCCTCCCAGGCCCCCATTAAACAATAAGTCCACCCGTATAAGCGGGCCCCCCTGAGAGCTCTAATTTTCACGCGGAATCCCCTCAAAAAATTGAGAGTGCGCACGCGAAAAATCATGCATACACAACGATTAGTAAAATATATTATGCTGACGTGCAAATGTCTGTCACTTTAAGGTGAAATGGTCTTTGATTAAAAATTTTGCCGACTACAGCAAAATCATAAAGTGGAGTCAGAGAAAGTACAGTAGTTTGTCTT